CTGCTGCTGCTGTTGCTGCGCTGCTGTTGCTGTGTTGCTGCTGCTGCTGCTGCTGTTGCTGCTGCTGTTGTGCTGCTGCTGCGTTGCTGTTGCTGCTGTTGCTGCTGCTGTTGCTGCTGCTGCTGTTGTTTGTTGCTGCTGTTGCTGCTGCTGTTGTGCTGCTTTGCTGTGTTGCGCAGCTGCTGCTGCTGCTGTGCTGTGTTGCTGTTCTGCTGTTGCTGCTGCTGTTGCTGCTGCTGTGCTGCTGCTGCTGTTGCGTTGCTGCAGTTGCTGCTGCTGCTGCTGTTGGCTGCTGCTGTGCTGGTGTTGCTGCTGCTGCTGCTGTTGCTTGCTGCTGCTGCTGCTGCTGTTGCTGTTGCTGCTGGTGCTGCTGCTGTGTTGCTGTTCCTGCTGCTGCTGCTGTTGTTGCTGCTGCTGCTGTTGCTGCTGTTGCTGTTGCTGCTGCTGCTGCTGCTGTTGCTGCTGATGCTGCTGATGCTGTTGCTGCTGCTGCTGTTGCTGCTTTGCTTTTGTGTTGCTCCTGTGCTGCTGATGCTGTTGCTGCTGCTGCTGTTGCTGCTGCTGTTGCTGCTGCTCTGCTGTGCTTGTTGCTGCTGATGTGCTGATGCTGTTGCTGCTGCTGTTGCTGCTGTTGTGTTGCGCTGCTGCTGCTGCTGTGTGCTGTTGCTGCTGTGCTGCTGATGCTGTTGCTGCTGCTGCTGTTGCTGCTGTTGCTGTTGCTGTTGCTGCTGCTGCTGCTGTGTTGCTGTTGCTGCTGCTGCTGTTGCTGCTGTGTGTTGCTGCTGCTGCTGCTGCTGTGTTGCTGTTGCTGCTGATGCTGTTGCTGCTGCTGCTGTTGCTGTTGCTGCTGCTGCTGCTGCTGCTGTTGCTGCTGCTGCTGTTGCTGCTGTTGCTGTTGCTGTTGCTGCGCTGCTGCTGTGTTGCTGTTCTGCTGCTGTGCTGCTGTTGCTGTAGCTGCTGCTGCTGCGTGTTGCTGTTGCTGCTGCTGTGTCGCTGCTGTTGCTGCTGCTGCTTGTGCTGTGTTGCTGTGCTGCTGCTGTGCTGTTGCTGCTGTTGCTGCTGCTGCTGCTGTTGCTGTTGCTGCTGCTGTTGCTGCTGTTGTGTGTTGCTGCTGCTGCGGTTGTGCTGTTGCTGTTGCTGCTGCTGCTGCTGCTGTTGCTTACTGCTGTGCTGCTGGTGCCTGCTGCTGCTGTGTGCTGTTGCTGCTGCTGCTGCTGTTGTTTGCTGCTGTGCTGCGTTTGCTGTTGGCTTGTTGCTGTTGCTGCTGCTGCTGCTGCTGTTGCTGTGTGCTGTGCTGCTGTTGCTGTTGCTGCTGCTGCTGCTGCTGCTGTGTTGCTGTTGCTGCTTGCTTCTGATGCTGCTGTTGCTGTTGCCTGCTGCTGCTGTTGCTGCTGCTGTTGCTGTTGCTGCTGCTGCTGTTGCTGCTGCTGCTTGCTGTTGCTGCTGCTGCTGCTGCTGCTGTGTTGCTGCTGTTGCTGTTGCTGCTGTGTTGCGCTGTTTGCTGTTGCTGCTGTTGCTGTGTTGCGCTGTTGCTGCTGCTGCTGTGTTGCTGTTGATGCTGCTGTGCTTGCTGCTGTGTTTGCTGCTGTTGCTGTTGCTGCTTGTTGCTGCGTTGCTGTTGCTGTGTTTGCTGTTGCTGCTGTGCTGTTGCTGCGTGTTGCTGTTGCTGTCTGTGCTGCTGCTGTTGTCTGCTGTTGCTGTTGCTGCTTTGTGCTGCTGTTGCTGTTGCTGCTGTTGCTGTTGCTGCTGTTGCTGTTGCTGATGTTGCTGTTGCTGCTGTTGCTGTTGCTGCTGTTGCTGTTGCTGCTGTTGTGCTTGCTGCTGGCTGTGTGTGCTGTTGCTGTTGCTGCTGTTGCTGTTGCTGCGTTGCTGCTGCTGCTGCTGGTTGCTGTTGCTGCTGTGCTGCTGTTGCTTGCTGTTGCTGCTGCTGCTGTGTTGCTGTGTTGCTGTTTGCTGCTGCTGCTGCTGTTGCTGCTGTTTGTTGCTGCTGTTGCTGCTTGTGTGTTGCTGCTGCTGTCGTTGCTGCTGCTGCTGCTGCTGCTGTTGCTGTTGCTGCTGTTGCTGTTGCTGCTTTGTTGCTGCTGTTGCTGCTGCTGCTGCTGCTGCTGCTGCTGTTGCTGTGCTGTGCTGTGTTGCTGCTGCTGCTGTGCTGCTGCTGCTGCTGTTGCTGCTGTGCTGCTGCTGCTGCTGTGTTTGCTGCTGTTGCTGCTGCTGCTGTTGCTGCTGTTGCTGCTGTTGCTGCTGCTGCTGCTTGCTGCTGTGTTGCTGTGCTGCTGTGGTTGTGCTGCTGGCTGCTGCTGCTGTGTTGCGCTGTTGCTGCTGCTGCTGCTGTTCTGCTGCTGTGTTGCTGCTGCTGTGCTGTTGCTGCTGCTGTTGCTGCTGTTGCTGCTGCGTGCTGCTGCTGCTGCTGCTGTTGCTGCTGCTGCTGCTGCTGTGTTGCTGTGTTGCTGTGCTGCTGTGTTGCTGCTGTGCTGTTTGCTGCTGTTGCTGCTGTGCTGCTGTTGCTGCTGCTGCTGTGCTGCGTGCTGCTGCTGCTGTGCTGCTGTGTGCTGCTGTAATTGCTGGAACAAACGTGTTGTGTGTTTAGTTGCAGTGTTTGTGCGTTGTTTTTAGGTATTTGATGGTTGTTTGTGTGAGTAGTGCGCGTAGACTGTGGCGTGAGAGTGAGACTAATGGAATGCGAGGGGTGCATAGTTGCAGTGTGCGTGAGATGTGATGTTGCGGATGCGGTGCTGAGGCTGACGGCGGAGCAGGGAGTGCAGGCGGCGGTTGAGTTGTGAAGTGCGAAAATTGAGACGAGAGTTCTTGTTTCGGAACTTGACAATGAAACCCCCATCACAATAGTGCGTTGTTATTTAAGCATGGGGTTCGTCATTTGCACTGCATCATTTATTATATTTCTTATGACTGTATATTTTTTATATTATATTATATTACTTCACTGTTTCTTAGTATCTCTGTATTTATTATATATATATCTTATTATATATATTATATACTATTGTTATAGTATATAGATAGATAGATAGATGATAGATAGATAGATTAGATAGCTGATAGTTTATGATCGATAGAGGGAAAGATAGATAGATTGATAGATAGTAAAACATAGATAGAGTAGCAAAATGCACTTATGAGAAGAGAGGGTGAGAAAGTGAGTGAGAGAGGATGAGAGAGAGAGAAAGAAAGAAAGATAAAAGACACGGGGGTTGGGTCGTGTTCCACCGCTCTGCATTTCTCTTTTGGGGCCCTTTTTGTGTGTGTTGCCCCCGTGTGTCCTGCCTTTTTGGTTGTCCTTTTTGTTGCTTTCCCGGTTTTGTGTGTCCTGGCGGGTTTGTTGTCCCCGGGTTGGTGTTTTTCCGGGGG